GCCGCCGGAGCTTAAGCCCCACACAATTTTCACATATTCACCAAATCAACAGTTTTCCACTCAGAAACTCATCTGGGTGGTAAGCTGCGCTGTGGCTTTCGGCGCTAGGTAAGGGCAACTGAAAGATAGAAATCAGTCGTGCCATATGAGATGTAGCGAAAATAAAGACAGACGTTACGAGACAGAGCTCTGGGCATCATCAGTCACCTCTAAAACCACAGTTGGGCCATGGTCCCTGATCACTGATATAACCCCTGTGATAGCTCGATAGCTATCATGTCAGATGGCAGAAGATGTGACGACAGGATCAAATCGGGGCAGGTGGGGCAAGCCGCTGTAACTGTAAGGCTGCTCACTGCTAAGGTACAACTGACTAGTGACTGTAATTTTTTAGAATGCTGCAAATTAATGGTCAACTTTCAAAGAATAGAAAGAGAAAGAGAGGGAGAGAGAGAGAGTGAGAGAGAGAGGGGGAAATACATATATATATATATATATATATATATATATATATATATATATATATATGCAGTTTTGACCGCAAGATGCCCAGGTTCTTGAAAGTTTTGTCGTCCGAATTTTGGGATATCTACATACCAGTGGTATACCAGTTTTACGTATCAGCTGAAAAGAGCGAGTCGCGCATAGTTAGCGCACTCGGGCGCAAACAGTGAAAGCGCCCGTTTTGGATAGCTAGTGAGCCTCTGCATGCTTAACTCCGCGAACAGCGGACATGACAATGTATTGATCGGACGTCATCATGTGGGTGGTAAAAGACAGCGCATTCCGTCGGCTTTCCTTTTGTGATACCTACGTGATGAAGTTGATAATTTGCATGCCTGTTACAACCTCTCCCATTCGGTATCACATAAGGCATGTCAGTATTGTTAAACGATGTTCAAGTACAAAGGACATACTTAGGACATTTAAAGGACAAATACTATTTGAAGGACACACACGCACACACACACACACACACACACACACACACACACACACACACACACACACACACACACACACACACACACACACACACACACACACACACACACACATACATGACGATCTTGAAACGTCACGCGAATACCACCACCGCATTGGCCATAAAGTGCTCAAGGTCAGGAGAAATATCATCATCTAATTATTCGTACCTGGCGTACATCAGCGTGCATCAGCGCACATCAACGCGATGCGGGACATCAGCGGACATCAGCTGGTCCTCAACCATGTTAACGTATTAAGTGCAAGTTTCGAGCACGAATCACGTTTTGTGCTGCATAATGCAGGAATGTGGGCGGTGATACGACTTATGATGGAAATTAGACTGGGAATCGAAGAGCTTAAGAGTAGCGTCCTCACTGAGTATAAGAATGGAAATCAACAATATAAAAGCACGGACAAATATACAAAATACAACGAGATAGGGCCAAAACACGAGCACGTAACAATGCTCGTGTTCAGCAAACACACACCGGCAACCCCCCCCCCCCCCCCCCGACTCTCGGCAAGTTGAAGGACAGCAAGTGAGATAGCCCATCTGCTGCAGTGGGCAATCGGATTCCACCAGTCTGACAGTGACCCGAAGTCATAAAGACTTTCCATAACTCTAGCAAACGATGACGTATTGAGACGCATAGTCACGACATGGTGAAATTTTATTGTCTAGAGCAGTTTTTACGCTTAAAAGCAAACCTTTGGTTACAAGTGAGCTTATTCCCCCCCCCCCATATGATGCCTCAATACCTCAAAATCTTCAAATGTGAGACATTCCTTTTAACACGCGTTTGGGTGCCCCCCACTCCCAAGATTTATCCAGAATAACTTCCGAACGGTTCGGCGTGGCCGTGCCGAGTGCGTTGCATCGGTGGCAGTTAAGTAACCAATTTTTTGGTACACAAATTTACATATCTTGAAAGGTCGCTGACGTGTGGCAGGTCAGAGTCAGGCCATTGGTGCCAGCGAAGGGAATTCCGAGGAAATCATTGAGCCTGATGCGACAAGAGTATTAGACGAAGTCATCCTTTTCTTAGATGATGTCTTGGACAATGGCATATTTGTATTTAGGATTATGATAAATGTCATTTGTGTTTGGTAAGATGTGAAGATGAGATCAAGACCGGAACGGACCGTTCGATTGCTGAGAAACTAGATTTATAAGGTAGTTTTAACATCCAGTTCTAATTCTTTCATCATACGTCAACATGTCTTGCTGACTTCATGAAGTTCTGGAGAGTTCTCTGGACTAAAGCGACCTCAATCAACCTTTTTCTTTGAAGAACTTTCCGGATATCATAGTTCTTGATACTAATTTTGAATTAAAAAACCTTCGAGATCGGTTTGATATTTGGTCACCTCGACTTCCTCAAGATCGAATAAGGTCACTGAACTGACATTAACACCGGTGAAATTTATCTATGCTCTTTAGGATAAAGATGGCCGGGTATGCAGTTTCCTGTTCAGTTGGGGTGCTCCCCCAACTTGGCCTCCAGCCCCCCCCCCCGCGACTTGGAGAGAAGAGTTGGCCAAATCCGGGCAGAAGCACGTTTTTGGCGAGCTTTGAGGGTGCATTTCATAATGGTTCATGGTTCATGCCCCCCCTCCCCATCCCACTTTGCGAAACTACGCGCCTGAAGTTGGCTGCATGAGAAGGTCTGAGAAAACTTCAGACGCCGACCTCGATTGTTGACCCTGTATGACCTCATCTGACTCGAAAGACGGATCACACTATTTGGCACAAATAAGTGGACATAGAAGCCCACCTTCCTAGTGAATTTGGTGTATCTAGGTCTCTTAGCTGTTTTTTTTTTCAAATCGCTTGAGATCCCATCTCACCTTCAACCCTTCAACCGGTCACCCGAGAGTGTATTTTTTGGCACCAATGCCAGTTTTTTAACTAAAAAGTGTTATACATGCCAACACAGTACCTGTCCGAATAAGTGAAAAACATGTGTTTTATAGATGTTGAGCAGTCTTGTTGAAAAGAGACTTAAGATCATAACATTTTTGAACTCCGCCACAAGAGCGACGGGTTTGACCGATGACAGATGGCATAAGGTGAACAGGTAGTTGTGACTTTGTGGCGTAGGCACATACTGCTTGAATGTGAACCCTTTAAACGCAGCCATCCGTTTTCCACTTGTTGTTCAGCCCTCAACGGTCAGTTTGTGACATGTTTCATCAGCTAAATGACCAACAACGAAAATGCTTTAAAGATAACACGTCTGTCTCGTCTTGCGACCAAGTTCAAAATATACCATGAGGCGTATGGCAGTTGTTCCGCTATCTATAATACTGTCAGGGGGAAGTGATACCAGAATTTAAGTGCAGTGCATTTAAGGAGGGTTGCATCAGGTATATTAGCAAAATTCCTGTCGTTCAATACCATACACGAAGCGCCATCCTCATCATAAGTTCATCACACATCATGATTTACCAGGATTAGTGCAGCACATAGTAGCTGGCGTACTATATTTTGTTGAAAGCTTGTGATTGTGCAACTTCCCGAAGGGCTACAATCAGCTCCTATCTAGAAAGTAAGGACATTACTTGCAAAGCATTCGTTTCTTTTGACCCACTACTGCAATTCTGAACGAGTTCTTAAAAACGTAAAAAAAACATCTGTACATTATGCATAGTGGTATTACTCCGTCTCTGAGTTTTCTGATTTCACCGGTAACAGAATGTTAATGAAACAAAGCACGCATTCTTCATGCCGCGAAAACCGTCAACTGAAAAATTTCAAGCATTTCCTCTTAATGTTCAGTATCCTTGAAATAGCAAGTGCGTTCTAATAAACAATAACTGAACATCATGACGCGTGTGACGCGCCAACAGCTAGCAACAAAGCCATTTATTCTATGGCATGCAGGTGTTCACAAATGGTAGCTTGAAATGATCAGGATTGTTATCTTCCGCATTTCATCATGAAGCGTTTGCCAGTCGCTTGCGCCGATCATACACACGCACGCGGTCTTCCGTGTTGCGCCGTGTATTTTTTTTAAAGGCAATTCTCCAAATTTGTACGGCGTTGCAGGCATCCTGGCCTGATAGTGTTTCTGACAAAAGCCCGCCAGCTGGGCGGATTGCACACTCCGACCTCTCCGTCAGTTGCATCCCAGACCCAGCCGATCAGCTGTTGTGCGATATGGAATGCCGGCTATGCGAACCCGCCAATTACGCCAGTCTCTATTTACTCCTAACGATCCGTGAAAACCTCCTAAACACCCCCTGGGACCATTTAAGAGCAAACCCTAAATAAATACGGTCATTTTTGTGGCGGGGCCGGTGATCCATCAGCGGCGGCGACGGCCGGCGGCGGTGCAGGGCCGCACCGGCCG